TGAATTCCTCTCTCCTGCGCAAAGACGCCAAGGGTCTGGTTTTTCGCATCCTGGGGAACTCAGGCAACAGGTGGCTTTGGGGGCAGGAGTGGGAGCCAGGCCACTGTCACAGAGGTACCTATGTTCTGAATCCACCCCCAACTCCTTCCAGTCACCCTGCCGAGCACTGGCGCCAGAGTCCCAGGTGAGCCTCCCTGTGTCTCTTGGGGAGGAGGCAGGTGTGTCCAGGAGCGTGGATAGGCCTTCCTCTAGGTGTGTGTGCAGGCCTGCGGCGTGTGTCAACGACAGCGTGTCTGTGTCTGAACGTTTTGGGCCGCTGTGTGTGCACGCGTGTTTCCACGCAGGCACTGGCTGCTCTTCCCTCAGGCACCTGCTGGTCAGTCACACAGGCCACGCATCTGGGTGGTGGCAGCCCGCATCAGGCTTGCAGTCCAGCAGCCTTCTTCCACTCACAGGTGGATGGCCCATTCCATGTATCAGGCATTCTCACAAAGTTTCTTATTGTCTCTGTATTCTTATTTTAGACTCTGCCCCTTCCCCTGTCCTTGATTTTGTCTCTGGCCCTGTCCCATTTCTTCTGGTTTGAGGCCCAGCAAAGCTGGGAGTCATCACTGGGCTGGGGAAAGTCCAGGTGCAGGGACCCCGAACCTCTCCTCATTCCATCCTTCTTCAGCCCCAGCCTCGGGATGGGAACCAGCAGAGGGCCCAGACTCTCCAGAAACCCCCTGACCCCAGAAGCGCCATCGACAGAGAAGCTGGGTCCTAAGCTTTCTTCTCAAAAAAAGAAAATAGATAAATAAAAATAAAAACTATTGGTGATCTTTGGGCATTGAGGTTGTACAGAGAAAATCAGCCTCTGTTGTCACAGGGCAGTAGGCATCAGGGACACCTCAGTCTGCTCAGGACAGGAGAGGGGCTAGATTGGAGACTGTTGGAGCAATGTGTGTCCCTGGGAACCTCAGCTCTGACTTGCCGCAGGTCACAAGCTGAGAAGTCTATGGCATAGCTGGGCCCAGAAGCCGGGGGCCCTGGGTCCCATTCTGTGACTCTCTTTTGCGGGGACAGGACGCCTCTGAAGTGAGGGCTATGGAGGCATCAGAAGCAGGAGAAGGAGTAAGATGCTCTCAGGGGAGGAGCCCTGAAGAATGGGGGTCCAGGAACCCAGGTTACTGCACAACTTTGATATTCTTATCCTCTTATCGCCCGGGGCAGCTACTTCCCCTCCACCCAGGTCGGAGGCAGCGGTGGTCTCTTAAAGGAGTATCGCCTCATTTCTGGCCAGCTGGGCCTACAAGGCAACCCTCCTCACCACTTTCTCTTTAGACTCAAGGGGGTGAAAGGCCCTGTTTCCCCTTTCTCTGTCCCATTTTAGGGACCCGGGAGTGGGGCAACTTTCCAGGTTGAAGGACCCCCTTCCTGGAGGGAAGGATGTGGGGCTGTCTCCCTCCCCGCTGCCCCCATGCCAATTCTCTTCTAGGCCCTGAATCTGACAGCTCCCTAAGGTCTGTGTGGGCCTAAATGGAGGACCCAGAGAAGAGGTCCATGGCCTTCTGGGAAGGAGTCACTGGGTGGTTTTCTCTCTGCTGCTCCTACCTCCCCAAACCCATTCCTCTTGCTTCCAGAACCAAGCCCATCGAGAGGCTTGGAGAATGCTGGGGGAAGATGGTGTGGGCCGGGCTCAGCCCACCCTGCCCCCTGCCCACCCCCACGCCCTACTCCCCTCCCCCAGCCAGGGGCCCTGGGCTGGGCAGCTTCCTGCCTTCCCCATGGGGAAATCGGGGGTGGCATGCAGGTGGGTGGGCCCCATGCCCACATCCGGTGGCCGCCAGAACCTTCCCTCGAGCCTCTTTCCCTCCAGTCCTCCAAGCCCCCTTCTGTCCCTGTAGCACCTGTGCCCCACCTTAGGACCTGGTCCTCACCCAGCTCTGCCCTGCTCTCTTGTCCTCACAGGCCCCAAGGAGAGCATGAACACCTAGCCTAGTGTCATCAGGCCCACTGGGCCTGAGAGTGCCCCCCGCACTGTGCCCTGCAGGCTGAGGCTGCAGGAGGGGTGCCTTTGCGGGGTGCTGAAAACAACAGCCTCCATGGAGGGTGTGCTGGCCCCAGTGCCCTTCATGCATCGGCACCTCCACGGCCCCATGGGAGCACACGCAGAGCAGCCAGGCTTTGGCCTGAGTGTTGGGAAGGGAAGGGAGTTTTCTGGGCTGGGGTCAGCAGCGGTGAGGCTCAGAGAGAAGGTCCTTTTCTTGTGCTGGAATTCTGGACTCCCTGTTTTGAGCACTCACTGAGAGCCCTGTCGAGGAGCCCTGTTCTTCTGGGGACACCCTCAATGCCCTGAGTCAGTCCCAGGCTCTTGAGCCATCCCTTGGAGCTGGTGCCATGGGGGGAAGGGCAGCTGGGGCCGGAAGCCACCTGCCCAGGGCATGAGAGAGGGTCCCCAGCCCTCCCGCGGGCCCACCCTCTGTTTCCTGTCAGTCTGTCCTCCCCAGGGAGGGAGGGAGGGCGCTCATCCCCTGCGGGCGGGGGCGGGGCGGGCTCTGAGACCGTTGGGCGCCCTGAGATCTGGCCCACGTGGCCTCGGGGTTATAAGCCCTGCCCTCCCTGAAGGGAACCCCACTTCGGAGCCTGGAGCACAGGGCGAGCCCTCCTCTGCTCTGCAGCCTCAGGTAAGGACCCGGACCTTCACTGCTGCCCCAACTGGAGCTCCTCAGCTCGGGGCCTGTAGGGGCTTGGGCTGCTGGTCTGGGTGGAGGCGCAATGCGGGTGTCGAGGAGCTTGGGTGGGAACCCCATGCAGGAAGCTCAGGGCAAAGCGCCTTGAAACCTTCTCTAGTGAAGGAAGGTAAAATGGCTCCTGGACCCCAGTGGGGGAAAGAGGTGTCCAAGGAGGAGGGCTGGAGAGTAGGGTGGGGATGGCAGAGGGTGGGCAGAGACTGAGAAGTGAGTCCGTGTCTCAAGGGGCACCAAGCTCTTCCTCCGCCCAACATGGCCACCATTTTTGTTGCGATAGCCTTGGGCTCCTGCCAGGGGAACAGCAGGGCAGTGAGGGGTTCAGGACTTTGGGTTGGTGGGGAGCTGAGAATCAAGGCCCTGGGGAGTCAGGACTTTGGGGCTGGTGGAGAGGCTGAGGACTGAGGCCCTGGGGGGTCAGGACCTTGGGCTGCTATGGAGGCCGGGACTCAGGCCCTGGGGGGGTCAGGACCTTGGACTGGTAGGGAGGCTGGGAATTGAGGCCCTGGTGTGTTCAAGACCTTGGGCTGGTGGGAAGGCCAGGGCCTGAGGCCCTGGGGGGTGAGGCCCCTGGGCTGGTGGGGAGGCTGGGGACTTAGGCCCTGGGGGGTCAGGACCTTGGGCTGGAGGGGAGGGCGGAGGGTGGGGACTGAGGCTCTGGGCAGTCAGGACCTCAGGGTTGGGGTAGGCTGGAGGCCAAGACCTTGGCGGGGGAGCTGTGGCTGCCACGTTTGGACGCTGGAGGGTGGGTGGCATGGCTGGGAGCGGCCAGCCAAGGGGTCACAGAACTGGAGGTGAGTCCTCCAGAGGCCCTGGTCTCTACCTGAGTGTCCCTAAAACTGGGGGGATGGGGTGGAGCCTTTAGGGGGAAGGGAAGAGGGAACCAAAGAGGAAGTGGGGGAGGGAGGTAGAGGAGGCAAGTCTGGCGCCATGCTGAGTCACCGCCCACAGGCCCAGTAGGGGCCCTGGCAGGGTTGGGGTGATCTTAGGAAGCCACGAGGAGGGCTGGGGGGCTCTTGGAGCAGAAGTGAGGAGGCCCGGGCGGCCTGAAGAGTACACGCCGACGGACAGACAGACAGTGCAGTCACCCATAAAGTAGAAAGCACTACTAACAGCACTGGAGGGTGTAGTGTTTCCTACTTTATGGATGAGTGTACTGTGGGCTTCGGAGATCACGCCACCGCCGCCGCCCGCTGCCCGCCACCATCTTCCTCGGCGCTCCGGGACCTCTTGTGACAGGTGAGCACCTCACAGCCCCTCCCTACTCTGCCCAGATGCCTGAAATACCTCCATGGCTCTCCCGCCCTTCCTGGTTCCGGACAGCTGGGGAAAGGCCACAGCCGCTCCTCTGCTGCCCTGCAGTCTTTGGGGGCGGGGAGGGCTGGACGTGTGGAACCCTGATGCAGCCGCAGCCGCAAGGACGAGGAAGGGGTGGGAAGGGAGGGTACATGGAGGGGAATGGGTGGTGGTGCCAGGGACCCAATGCTAATAAAGACTGGACTGTGCTTCTCTTTTGTCTGAGACTCTGTTGCTGGGGTGGGGAGCTGAATGCGGGCGGCAGGCACACAGACAGTATGGACACACTGAAGGGCTGAGAGGGAGAACCTCTGTCACTCCTCTGAGAGATATGGATTTGGCCCTGCCTGTGAGATTAGAAGAGGGCTCTGGGCCTGGCCAGGCCACAGCTGGAGGAGAGAAGGGCCTGGGCTATCTGCAGAAAGGGGCAGGGATGTAAGGCATCCTCTCACCTTCTACCCTAGCTCTGGCCCTATCCTGCCCCCCACTCACTCTCTACACGCCCAAACTGAAAGCTGCCTACATCCAGTTGTAATCTAAGAAAGTCTAGGGGGTCCTGGTCCTATAAAAATTGGGCAAAATCGACTGTGGCACATACACAGCATCTTAGACAAGGGTGCAGACACTCATATACAAAGCACACACTGAGATGCAAATGCATTTACACATAGAGGCCTCATGCAGGGTGCCACTAACACACACACAGACACATGTGACATGACTGGTATGACACACAGGGATTACACACACCCAGGGCACATACATATTCAGTAGTCCACACATGCAATGATAGAAACATAGGACGTGTCTTACACATAGAAGAGCACACACATACAGTGACATTCGCATAATAAACACAGTGGCTCCATACACATACATAGAGGTACGTTCATAGACCATGATAAATACAGAATACATAAATAGATACATGGTGATATATATACATACACAAATCAAACCAAGTCATTATGCATATTTACATGACTATATGAGCATATCATATATTGTGTAATCAATTACTATATTGTGCCATATAGTAGCATCCATATCTATATATATCATGATGTGTTGCAATTTATAAACTCACGCAATGATTGCCTCCCATGCACATAACATAGACACAGTAGCAAACAGACATAGACGCAATGACACAGAAACATACAAATACACCCAATGTGTTTTTCTTGTTTTATTATGTGACCCATAGACACATAATAGCACACACATATACACACAATGGCCCCTTCACATATGCAGAAATAGAGATATGTCTATTCTCTATATGCATACTATACACATGCATGTGCATAACGGCATGCATATATACTCTGACCTAAACATCAGCAACACATCATGCAGTGGCGTGCGTGTCGACCCACACACTGCTTTAGGGAAGTGAATATGTCCACTCCTCCCCATGCACCCGCTACCTCCAGCTCCATTGGCTCTTGCCTGGGTGGAGCCCACAGTCAGTCAGGGTTCAGTATCACTGCTGCTATTCTGTGGGGGTGCCACACGAGGGCCTCCGACCATGGCTGAAACTGGCTTGTCTAATGAGTCCCGGGTTCAGAGGGGAGAGGGGCTGCCTCTCTGGGCTTCTCCCAACACCCCTGTCTCTGGGGACTCTGTCTAGACCCCTGCCCCTGGATATAGGCTGACTCCTGGCTGGGGGGATTCTCACGTCCTTGTCCCCCAAATTATTTTTTCAAAGCAACAAGGTCTAAGGCTACACAGAAGGTGAACTTCCAGGCAATTCAGGGCAAAGCCAACCCAACAGGCCATGTGGGATTCCCTGGTGGCCTGGGACAGTCAGGTTGCCCACCAAGTGCAATCTGCCAGGAGGAAGCGGAAGCAATTCTCTCCGTCTATTTCTACCTGTCTCTTTGCTTGTCGTCCTGGTTTCTTTCTCTTGGTTTCTCTCTCTCTCTTTGTTTCATCTCAAGTCCCATCTTTTCTAGTTCTGCCCTTCTCTGTGGCTGGATCTCTGTCATACCCTCCCCCGTTCTGTCTCACCCGATGTGGGGAGGACCATCTGCACCCCGCTCGCCTCTGTACTCCGGAAGGTGTGAAAATGTGTGAAGATGAGGGTGGGAGGCCACATGTGGGAGCCCTGGGCTGACATCCCGTGAGAAACCTGCTCTTCCTTCTGTCCCCCGACCCTGTCAGCCGGTTCAACCCACCAGTCCAGCGCCATCACCATGGAAACCAGCAGCCGACTTCCTATTGGTGGGTGGGAGGGGAGGAGGAGGAGGAGGGGAAGGCTGGTTCTCCCCGGCTCACCCCCCCCAGTTCTGAGGCTCAGCCCTCCTCGGAGCCCACCATCTCGAGGCTCCCGGACTGTAAGGGACCCCTGCAGTCCCCAGAGCTGAGGCCAGCAGGGGCTGAGACTATGAGGCAAGCAGCCCATCGACCCAGACCTCCTTAGGACCAGCCCAGTCACCCAGCAAGCGAGAGAGCAGCAGCGGAGAGCAGAGCCGGAGATAAAGGACCACAGAGGACCACTGGGGATCACCCCCAGCAGCTCCTGAAGACCCTGGCCAGGCTGAGGGGTTGCGACGGAAGGCCAGACCCACAGACACTGACAGACACACAACGACAACGATGCACACAGCTGCACGACACTGACACACTCAGATACAACCAGTGACAGCATCACATACTGCCACAGCCCTGCAATACAGACACCCACACACACACAGAAACAACTGGCAACTCTGAAATGGGCAGACAGTGACACACAGCACCACCCCCCTCAACACACAGAAGTGGGGGCACCCATCTTCCCAACACACGAGACAACATTGACCTGCACGGACAGACCTGGAGACACACACACGCACCCTCACCCAGGCGCAGCTGTCAGTGGCCTCTGCACATCCTCCCCACCCCCACGGGGACACCCTCGCTCCTCCACACACTCGCGCACACACACAGAGCCACCAGCAAACATAGCTCACATACCCCTGGCTCCAGCTCCAGCAGCCCTGGCGCCTTCTGCAGCCTCCTTTGTAGGTGGGGAAGAGCTCAGCCAACCCTGGATGGAGTGTCGGTGAAGCAAGAGCTCAGAGGGGAGCGGGGCTGGCCTGGCATGACCCTCGCCAGTCCCCCCACCTGGCTGGGTGATGTCCCCTGGCCCAGGTTCTGGGGACCCTTGGCAGTACCATGGAGCAACTGACAACCCTCCCACGGCCTGGGAACCCTGGAGCCATGGAGCCATGGGCACTGCCCACCTGGCAGAGCTGGACTCCAGGTCGAGGGGGTGAACCTGGCGATGCAGTCCCAAGTGTCGCTGATACTCCTCCAGCAGCTCTGCAGCTTCCAGAACTGAGGTCTGAGGAGAGTTCCGAGCCCAAAGGAGCCAGGAGCTCTGGGCCCATTGGGGGCACTGACCCTGAAGAAGCAGAGGCTTGTCTGCCCAGCCTGGGCCAGCAAGCATCGAGCTCTGGACCTGCCTGCCAGAGGCCAGAGGATGAGGAAGTAGAGGCTTTCCCGAAGGTAAGGGATCTGTGGATGGCTGGGGTCTGCAAGGTGGGGTCTCTCACCGTGTCCTCCAGCCTGGCCAGGAGGTGAGGCGAGGTGTGGATCCCTACTGCCCACCTCTCCTCTCTTGGCCTGTCTGTGGGTCTGTCTCTGTGGCTATCTGTCCTCTCTTCATCAAGCAGGAATCTCAGGGGCTCCATTTCTTTCGTCATTTGCCTGTCCTTCTGACCCTCTTTGCCTGTCTGTCTAGATCTGGCCCTGCTGCTGCCCCGTCCCTCTCTGTGCCTCCCCCTGACAGTGTGTCTGTCTGTCTGTGTCTCTTCCTCCATGAGTTTGTCTGTCCTTGGGGGCTGGGGGGTACAGGGAGAGTGTGGAGGTGCACGGAGAATCAGTGCAGAGGAAGTAGAATGAAGGGAGGGGGCTTGGTGCTGGGCTGAGCCAGGGTTGGGGTGGGTGTGAGCAGGCTCCTGTAGAAGAGGGAAGGAACAGGACTTTGGGGGTGGGCAGGGGAGTCTGGAGGGATGGGAGTGGGAGCTCTAGCTGGCACGTCCCTGGAGGAGAAGATGGGCAGGAGTGGGACGAAAAAGGGAGGAGCAGGAGGGTGCCAGGGTTGGGGGCGCCTATGTGGACAGGAAGGACTGGACAGTTCCTTCTCCTAGGCCTCCTCTGCTCCTCTCTGAAGACCTGGGATGTGGGGCAAAACCGTTTCATCTCCACGTCTCCTTGGACCATGGATGGGGGATGCTTCCACATGGAAGGTTCTGGCTGGGTGACATGGGTTTCTGAGGTGCTGTCCTTGGTCCTTTCCCATGCCAGGCCAAGCTGAATATGGGCTTTGGGGACAGGCCCAATCTGGAGCTGCTGAGGGCCCTGGGGGAGCTGCGGCAGCGCTGTGCCATCCTTAAGGAGGAAAACCAGATGCTGGTGAGGCTTGGAGACTGGGGTGCTGCATTCTGGTTGGAGCCAGGCCCTCTGCCTCAGTGTCCTCCTCACCCCATGAACATCTCTCCAAGTGGGGGCTCCATGGAGGTGACAAAATGCTGAGACCTAGAGAGGGTGAACCCCTGCCTAAAGTTGCCAAGGACCCCACTGTGAGCCTAGGGCTCTAACCCAAGACCTGGGTCATTAGGACTGGGTCTGTGGGGTGCTCCCTACATGCCCCAATTCTGCCTGACCCCTTGTCAGAGGAAGAGCAGCTTCCCTGAGACGGAAGAGAAGGTGCGGAGGCTGAAGAGGAAGAACGCAGAGCTGGCGGTCATTGCCAAGCGCCTGGAGGAGAGGGCCCGAAAGCTGCAGGAAACGAACCTGAGGGTGGTGAGGACAGGAGGCTGCTGGGCGGAGGCTGGGCGACCAAGGAAGAGGGGAGCCAGGGCTGGGCTTGAGGGCTATCTGAAGCTTGGGAGTCACAGACTCAGCACCCAGGAAAGCAAGAATCTAAGGGATAAGGTGCAGGAAGGGCAGAGGCTGGCCAGGCAAGGAGGCCAAAGGTTTCTGGAGCTGTAGTGGGGAGGTTCCTGAGCAGGCAGGGAGCAGGGTTCTGGATTACCATGTGCTGGTGCTGGCGGCAGCTCCTGCTGAGCTCATCTCAGGGTATAGAGCTGGAGTGGGGGCAGGGATGAGACCCATCACAGTGGCAGCCCCAAATTAGCAGCATCCTTTGATCCTAAACTCAGATGTAGAGTTAATCCTTTCCGACTGCTGGGATGGGGGAGAGTGAGGCTGCTGGCTTTCTGAGACCCCAGTCAAGGTGGAAGCAGGTGGCCACCCCGCTAGGTTTTCATGCTAACTCCTCCTTTGGGAGGAAGGAGATGAAGAGTGGGAGAAGTGCCCCAGCCCTCAGGTGACCATTGGCCTTACCCCTCCTCTGGCTAGGTGAGTGCCCCCTTGCCCCGGCCGGGGGCCAGCTTGGAGTTGTGTCGGAAGGCCCTAGCCCGCCAGCGAGCCCGGGACCTCAGTGAGACAGCCAGTGCACTGCTGGCCAAGGACAAGCAGATTGCTGCCTTGCAGCGGGAGTGCAGGGAGCTGCAGGCCAGGCTCACCCTGGTGGGCAAGGTGCGAGGAGGCCCTGGTCACCTCTTCCAGCTCAGCCCTGCACAGGGCTATCTGCCTGTTGTGGGATGCGGACAAGATGTTAATAAGATGCAAATGAAACGGGAGGGTGGAGGTTGCTGGGAGTAGGTTCCCCTGGCAACGGCCCAGGTGGGAGAGGGGAGAAGGGGGTGGAGCCATGACTCCCAGACCTGGGCATTTCTGTGCTCCAGGCTTGAGGCTGTGTGCCAGTGGGTCTGGCTGTATGCATCCACACATCCCCTGTAAATGTTCACAAGGCATTTAGCACAGTGCTGGGCACATTGAGAGCACCCAAGAAATAAGTTACTCAGAATGTCCGCACAGGGGCTCGCGGGAGCATGTGGCCACACATGCATGCACATGTAACCAGGCATGTACGCTTGTGAGGGTGTGCACACTCCCGCGCATTGGAGTCCCTCCAGCAAGGCGAAGGGCTCTCCAGGGGATGGCATGGGGCGGGCAAGGGTTAGGCCTGACTCCCCTCCCTGTCCCTGTCCCCCAACCTCAGGAGGGTCCCCAGTGGCTCCACGTGCGGGACTTCGATCGGTTGCTGCGCGAGTCCCAGCGGGAGGTGCTGCGGCTGCAGAGGCAGATCGCGCTGCGCAACCAGCGGGAGACGCCCCCGCGCCCGCCGTCCCGGCCCCCGGGCCCTGCTCTCCCGGCCAGAGCAGAGGCGCCGGCTCCCGGGGCCCCGGGAGAGGTGAGCGCCGGCGCAAGGGCAGGTGTGTGGGTGCGTGCAGATGGCGGCGGGGAGCGACCACCGGGATCTCCCCTGCACCGTGCTCAGAACCCCAAGGACCCAGTGGTGGTGTGCGCACTCCCAGGGACTGGGGAGCTTTCCCGTCCTGGTCAGGGTCCACCTCCAAGCCTCCCGCGCTCGTACCTGCGCCGTGCCCTCCCCTGGGGGCTCCAGGGTTCCGCCCTCCATAGGCCTGCGCCCAGCGGGGCCCGGCCGGCCGCCCCTGCCGCGCTGCCAGTGGTACGGCCCAGCCGCAAATCCCTGGTTGCCCTGGCAGCCGCCCGGGGCCCAGCCCGCGCCGCCTCCTCCAGCCGCCGCCGTAGAGCGGGGACGCCCCAGTCAGCGTCCGCCTGGCTGGCCAGGCCTGGCCCCGGCTACCCGGGGGCGGCGGTGCGTCCGCCTCGGCTCCAGGTACAGGCAACCCTCACTCAGCGGGGGACTTAGGCAGCCCCTGATTCGAGGGCCAGGGACCTGCTCCGGACCCCCAGAACTTAGGGGTCTGGCTTCTCTCCATCATCCTAGGTGGGCAGCAAATAGGTCCTCCTCCTTCTGGGAAGAGAGCTGGGAGGAGAGACCGGGTAGTGATCTGATAGTGACCAAGACCTCCGGGTGGGGGGAGGCTTCTTGCTCAGATTTTGTCCCTCTGGCTGGCCCTGGAAGGGAGATGCACCTCCCATTAAGACCTGTCCTCCCCAAAGTTTGTATGGATAAACGGAAGGTGTGGCAGGGTGGGCTTTGGGGAAGCCAGGAGAAGGGTCTGGCCGGGCTTGCGCTGCTCTAGGCCAAGCCCAGATTTGGATGATATAGAACTCCTGTCTTGGGGAACACCACTTCCCTGGGGACCCAAGCAGCCTCCTAATTCTCTGCCGGTCGCTGAAGGACACCCAGGACAGTTATTGAGTGCAGAGCAGGGCTGCTGCTGGAAGCTAAAAAGGGAAAGCTTTGGCCTGGATAAAGGACCCATCTCCCAGGGCACACGTGGGTCCCAGGATCTCAAAGCACTTACAGCTCCAGGACACAGGGGTGCAGCCTTTGTACTTATACATCAGCTGGAGACAATGGGAGGGGATGGGCAGACAGTACCCCTCTGTGCTCTTCCTAGGCAGGGATCTCTTGCTGGCTGAATGATGGGGTGGGAACCTGCTCTGGGCAGGCTGGGCTGGGGCAGGCTGCCCTGGGGCCCTGTTCTCAGGTGCCAGCCCCTTGCCCCTGGGCATTTCCAGGCCACACCCCAGGAGGATGCGGACAACCTACCCGTGATTCTAGGGGAGCCAGAGAAAGAGCAGAGGGTGCAGCAGCTGGTAAGTCCTAGGTCAAGGGCTGGAGGCAGCCTGCTGTGGGCAGATGTACCTTCCCGCATGAGGAGCCCTTGGTTCTGACCCAACAGGAATCGGAGCTCAGCAAGAAGCGGAAGAAATGCGAGAGCCTGGAGCAGGAAGCCCGGAAAAAACAGAGGCGATGTGAGGAGCTGGTGAGCTCTTGAGGGCAACCCAGAGGCCAGCTCCTCCCTTTGCCCTGGCCAGCCAGGTGGTGGGCTCCCTCTCAGCTCTGCTCCCGCCCCTCCTGCCCTCAAGAACACATTTTCCCTCCTGCTCCTCGGTGCTTTCCTTTCCTGGCTGGTGCAGGTTCCAGCAGGGGAGGAAGGCCTTGCCTGGGAGGAGGGCAGGGTCCTCTGTGCGGGGAGAGGGGAAATGTGGGTGCTGGGCCCCCTCCTGAGAGCTCCTCTGCCTGCTCAGGAACTGCAGCTGAGAGAAGCGCAGAATGAGAATGCCCGCCTGGTGGAGGAGAACTCCCGGCTCAGTGGGAGAGTCACAGAGAAGGAGCAGGTACCATTTCCACCCAAGTGCTGTGGAGACCTGTGCTCCCACCAGAGCCCCAGTCCCCAGCCAAGGGGCTTTCTCCCCGACCCCTGAGCAGAGGTAGGGGACTGTTCCCGCTGTGAGGGCTCTGGTGGGTCAAGGCTCACCCACCCAACTCCCTGCCATTGCCCCCTCACTAGGTGGAGTGGGAGAATGCGGAGCTGAGGGGCCAGCTCCTGGGGGTGACACAGGAGAGGGACTCAGCCCTTCGCAAGAGCCAGGGCCTGCAAAGCAAGCTGGAGAGCCTGGAGCAAGTGCTGAAGGTGAGGGGATGGTGCAGGTTGGGTAGGGTGCTGGGCCCTGGCACAGGGAGCAAGTGGGACAGCAGAATATGCTTAGGGAGGGGCACTAGCTCTGAGGGCTGGGCCTGGAGCTGCAGCCCCTTGCCGTCTCCAGACTCAGTTTCCTTTGTAATAGAGGAATCTGGAGCAGACGGTGTTTGAGGCTTTCTCATCTTAGATCTTCTCTAGAAATGGCCAAGTGGGGGCTCTGGCCTTGACTCGGATCTTGTGTTTCAGCACATGCGGGAGGTGGCCCAGCGGCGACAGCAGCTGGAGGTGGAGCATGAACAGGCTCGGCTCAGCCTGCGGGAGAAGCAGGAGGAGGTCCGGAGGTTGCAGCAGGTGGGGCGGCAGTGAGGGAAACTGGCAGGCTGCCGGACACCGGCTTTGCTACTCACTCATCCCACAAGCATTTACTGTGTGCCTGGCACGGTGCTAGGCATTGGGGAGACTGTGGGGAACAAAGACCAGGTCCCTGAGCAGTCAGCAAATTAGCAGATCCATGAGTGAGCTGATTTCAGACACTGATGTGCACAGTGGTGGAGAAGAACAGGGTAATGTGACAGAATGACTGGGATGGGGTGAGGAGCCACTTCAGAGGTCATCAGGGAAGGCCTCCCTGAGGAGGTGACAATTGAGCTTGCCAGGCAGGAGGAATAGATATGTACATGCTCTGTGGCAGGGAAGAGCTGGAGAAGCCTGAGACCAGTGTGGCTAGAATACAGCAAGGGATGGGCAGCATGGTGGGAGTAGGCAAGAACCGGATCCTGTCGGGCCTTAACGGCCATGTGAAGAGTTTGGGTGTTTTGCTTTGTGAGTAGTTAGAAGCTCCTGAACGATCCTAAGTTGGGGAGTGGCATGATCTGAGTCACAGGATCACAAAGACCAGGTCCCTGAGCAGTCAGCAAATTAGCAGATCCATGAGTGAGCTGATTTCAGACACTGATGAGCACAGTGGTGGAGAAGAACAGGGTAATGTGACAGAGTGACTGGGATGGGGTGAGGAGCCACTTTAGAGGTCATCAGGGAAGGCCTCCCTGAGGAGGTGACAATTGTGGCATTGTGGAGGGTGGACTATGGGAGTGGGCGTGGAGCAGGGCCTGGGCAGTGGCCTGGGAGGGAGATAGTGGCTGTCTGGACAGGGATGCATGCAGCGAAGGGGGAGACAAGTGCCCAGGTTTGAGTTATGTTTTAGAGATAGAACTGACAAGCTTCTAGCTGGGCATGGTGGCTCACGCCTGTTATCCCAGCACTTTGGGAGGCCAAGGCGGGTGGATTACTTGAGGTCCGGAGTTCGAGGCCAGCCTGGCCAATATGGTGAATCCCCATCTCTACCAAAAATACAAAAATTAACCTGACATGGTGGCATGTGCCTGTAATCCCAGCTACTCAGGAGGCTGAGGCAGGAGAATCATTTGAAGCCAGGAGGCAGAGCTTGCAGTGAGCTGAGATTGCACCACTGCACTCCAGCCTGGGCGACAGAGCAAGACTCCATCTCAAAAAAAAAAAAAAGAATTGACAAGGCTCCCCGTGGGATTCCAGTTGAACCCCTTCTCTGTCAGCCATTTGCTGTATAAACTCTGGTGGAGGTGGGGCTCTTCCCGCTCTGCGAGGTGAAGGATGAAGGGGCAGCGGATCAGAGAGGTAGGGCATCCCAAGTGCTAAGTTCCATTCGGGTCATGTCTGAGCTACGTGTTAAAATTCAAGGGGAACTGTCCACAGGCACCTGGATACATGAGCCTGGGGTTATGGGTAAGTTGGTCTTGGACATATTTGGAGCCATCAGCGTGTTCAGTTGCATGAGTAGATGGGAGCCCTAGGGAGAAAGTAGACAATATAAACTGGGCCCAGCACTGGGTCCAGGGGAACCCTAACATTCAAAATGGAGGGCAGGAAGCAGGCAAAAGAGGCTGAGAAGGAGCATCCAGAAAGGTAGGAGGGAAACCGGGAGGATGGTTGCTCAGGAAAGAGGGGAGCAGACTCAGCCACGCTCCTCCTGGACCCCTTTGCCTTCTGGTCTAAGGTATGGTTCAGGGTGGGTGTTCAGGAGGGAGAAACTCTTCAGCCTCCCCCTTCCCTATCCCTCTTCCCTCTCTCCCTACTCTTTTCTTTCTACTGGCTTCTTCCTCCCCTGCCTCTGTCCTTTCTACCCTCCCTCTTTTGCATCCCTCTCTACTCCACCCCATTCCTTCTCCTTCCCTCCAGCATTTTGGTTCCTTCCACCTGTAGGCCCAGGCAGAAGCCAAGAAGGAACATGAAGGAGCCGTGCAGCTGCTGGAGGTAGGGCGCCTGGAAGTGGCCCCCAGTTCCACCGTCTTGGGAGGAAGGCAGGGGAGCTCCAGATAGAGCTGGAATGGACTATGGTGGTGGGGAGAGGGGTTGCAAGAGGGGCCCTTAAATGCTCCAGGGCCTGGGGGAGTCCCCTTCACCACTGGCCTATTTCTCAGGGTGGGCATGGCTGGGCAGGGGGCTCCTAAGTCTGGTGGCAGCAGTCTCCCATTGCTGCCACCCCCAGGTGCCTTTACCCTGAGATATCCTTCTGCTTAGGAACTGCTAGTCAGTCCAGGGAGCTGACTGGGTGATGTCCACTTAGGCCCCCTTCTCCCCCTCCCTCTCTGGGTTAGCAACCCACAGTGCTCAGGGTGCTAACCTGTTCTCTGCTTCCTTTTCCTGCAACAGTCTACCTTGGATTCCATGCAGGTAGCGCCTCGTTCTCTGCTTCCCCACACTTCTCTAGGCTGGCTGGGTTGCATCTCCTCCCTCAGGGCCTAGGCAGTCCCACTCTCTCATCCAGCAGAGGGGGTGTCACTGGGAGCAGACCTGAGAATCCAGAGGGGATGGGGTTCCCACAGGACATGTGCAGCTGTCCCCTCGTCCCAGGCCTGCCGCTGTGTCTGTCAGACACTGGGCCTCCCCTCTCTAGACACCCTGATCATGAGGAAGGTCATCGCCAGTCTAACTTAGGAGCCTCGCCATAGAGGCCGGAGAGAGCCCCTGCTATTGGGACTCTCCTCAGACCTGAGAAAACTTCCCGGGCATTGGCCCATTCCCATCATGAAGACATCCCTGGCTCTCCTGTGGCATTTCCTGCCCACCTGTCTCAGGGAAGGGGTTTGGGTTGCTGACTATGGGAGGGTGATGAGCGGTGGAGCTGAGAAAACTCCTGCGGTGATGGTGGTGATGATGGGGTGGGAATGATCCCTGTTGGCCTAGAAAGCAGCCAGAGGCAGAAGTGCCATTGCCTAGGGCCTGAGGGTTGGTGACTGTGTGGCAGGCCCCGGCCTTGGCTCTGGAGGGGGCTGGGGTGAAGATGTCCCAGGACACAGCCCAGGACTTCACCCTCAGCTCTCATGCGTTAAGGGCCGTGGGGTGGCCAAGGCAAGGCTGGTGCCTAGGTCTGGGGCGGGGTGGATGGATTTGACCTGAAACCCAGTGTAGGGCTGTGTAGAGATGGCACAGGCTGGCACTGGGCAGCTTTGAGGGGCCTGGTGGCTCATGGTGGGTCTTGGCCCAGGCCCGGGTTCGAGAGCTCGAGGAACAGTGCCGCAGCCAAACCGAGCAGTTCAGCCTCCTGGCACAGGAACTCCAGGCCTTCCGCCTGCACCCGGGCCCCTTGGATCTGCTCACATCTGCCCTGGACTGCGGGACCCTTGGAGACCGCCCGCCACCCCCCTGCTGCTGCTCCACTCCCCGGCCTTGCCGGGGGTCTGGCCCCAAAGGTAAGGTGGACCCTAGTGGCATTGGCCTGGAATCCCCAGGCCTGGGCTTTTGTATAGAGCAGAGAGTTCAGGATCAGAGAAGGCCAGCAACTCATCCAAAGTCCACAGCAGGTTGGGGCTGTGCCTGGCTAGAACCAGGTTCTGATGGGGGAAAATAAAGCCCGGGGGAGTGACTGTCCCAGAGTCTGGCCCAGGCATCGTGGGCCGCTGCTCCTCTCCTTCCAAAAGGACCTGAATGATCAGGGCTGAGGGCTGGGCACTAGGAGTCAGTAGCAGGCAGTGTGGTCTTGTGAAGAGTGGGGGCTTGGGGGTCAGTCAGATCTGGTGGTCCCAGCTCCACTTACTTGCCAGTCACTGTGAATTGAGAATGCTGCTTAACCTCTCTGGGCCATAGTTTCGTAAGCTGTAAGACAGGAATAATTAAATGCATCTTATCAAGCTGTTTTGACGATCATGTGAAATAGTATTTGTAAATCAGCTATACTCTATTTAGTAAGTTTCTCTCTAAACATTTCCCTTTTGGTAAGGAAGCCCGGCTATGGAGGGCCTGGCCCCCATATCCAAGAAGCACCACCCTATCTCCTGGTCCCTCCTCAGGCCACAGACCCCAAGCCCACGTGCCATCTTCTCTTTAGACCTTGACCTCCCGCCGGGCTCCCCTGGGCGCTGCACCCCAAAGTCTTCCGAGCCTGCCCCTGCCACCCTCACTGGGGTCCCTCGAAGGACAGCCAAGAAGGCAGAGTCTCTCTCCAACTCCTCCCACTCCGAGTCCATCCACAACAGCCCCAAGTCATGCCCTACACCTGAGGTAAGTGCTAGGGTGGGGCCTGAAGTTCTGGCTTTGGTTTTGGGCAGGGTGCAGGGCAGGTGGCCCTGACCTCTTCTGGGGTCCCCAGGAGTTGGGTGGCGATTTTTGGGGTCCCACGTTGGGAGGTGGGAGGCCTGTGGATTCCTCCTGTGGGCGAGGGGCTCGGGTGGAGCCGTTCCCGCCCTCCGCCGCCTGCCTGCAAGCTGCACCTGGGGCCACCCCAGCCCACTCCCGGGAGGCCCAGGGAGGCTGTGGAGTGCTGCGCTGGATGGAGGAGACACTTGGGCACCAGGATCTGCATAAAGAGACTGTTCCTAAGAGTGTCTGTAGTGAAAGCAGGTGGTTGTGTGAGAAAGCACATGTTTCAGGATTCAAATCCCAGCTTTGACTTAGGCAAGTCGCTGAGCCTTTCTGAGCTTCGGTTTCCTTATCTGAATCCTGGAGCTAATAAAACCTGCCTTCTAAGCTTGTTGTGAGAGTTAAATGAAGAAGGAACATGCCTGTCTCAGTGCAGGGCACAGAGGATGTGTGCTCAACAGGGGGCAGCTGTTATTATTACTAAGTTCCTGGGCATCACTCATAGCTCTGGTTGTCAACTCATCCTTCTTTCTACCCACAAACCCCAGAAGGTGGAGGGGGCAGGTCAGGAGCAGCTCTGTAAGCCAAACATTCAGAAAGTGGTAGAATGAAGCCCCGGGCCTCTACTGCCCCCTCGTGGGATAGAAGGGTGGTGCCGGCTTTGGATGTGGTCGTGGAGAGGTTGCCCACTTGGTCCCCTTCTCCCAGGCACTGGCAGAGAAGAGAAGGCAGCCTGTTCCCCAGGCTATCCCAGCAACCTCAATGAGGGTCAGAGAATCGGGGTGCCCTGAGGTTGGGGTGCCCTGGGCTGTGGGCCAGGCAAGTAGACAGGAAGTTCTGAGTTCCAGAGCTGAACGGCAGACACACTGTCACTCAGCTAGAAGCAGGGACCTCTCAAGCTCCTTCTGCCTCCTTGCTTCCAGCGATTTACAGTTGGGGTGCTTTGCTGAGGTGTTTCTTTTTTCTTTCTTTCTTTTTTAAAGACAAGGTCTTGCTCTATCACCCAGGCCGCAGGGCAGTGGCACAATCTTGGCTCACTGCAACCTGCACCTCCTGGGCCCAAGCGATCCTCCCACCTCTGTCTCCCAAGTAGCTGGGACCACAGGGGTGCACCACCACACCCAGCTAATTTTTTTATTTTTAGTAGGGATGGGGTTTTGTTATGCTTCTCAGGCTGGTCTCAAACTCCTGGCTCAAGCAATCTGCCCTCCCCAGCCTCTCAAAGTGCTGGGATTATAGGCGTGAGCCACTGCACCTGGCAACTTTGCTGAGTTTTTACTTTAAGGAACCAAACCAAATTTCTATTGACACCCACGCCCCACACCAGCATGGCCTGCGCCCCTCTGAGATGAGGCAAGTGGCTTTATTTCCTGTCGGGTGCAGTAGAGGCTCACGGAGGGATCTGGGTTATCCCCACTGCCCCTGCCCAGGGTAGCTGGGCTCTGCCAGGACCTGTCTCAGGTACGGATTTAGAGAGCATCAGGGGGTTCTTGCCACTGGTCTTGTGCAGCAGGTATGTGCTCACTTTCCCTCCTCAAAGCCATAGGTCCTCTGGCTCAGCCTGGAAACCTGCCTGCTTGGCGTTTGGTCCCAGGCCCTGAAGAGGAGCCAGCCCTTTCTGTTTGCCCCCAGGTGGACACAGCCAGTGAGGTAGAGGAGCTGGAGGCGGACAGTGTCTCCCTGCTCCCAGCCACGCCAGAGGGCAGCCGGGGAGGAGCCAGGATCCAGGTCTTCCTAGCGCGTTATAGGTGGGTACCTCACCCTCACTGCCCTCGAGCCCAGCCCCATCATTTGGGGTGTATGAGGAGGCCGAGAGGAGATAGAGACCTCTGGAAGTGGTGGGGGCGGCACAGGACACAATGGACCTATTCTCATAACCTAGTTGGGCCAAGGTGGGTGCAGTGAGGGCTGTGCTTTGCTAGTGGTGGACAACCACAGCCAAGTCTCCATAAAGGCTTAGTGCAGTGGGAGAGAGAAGACGGGACATGGAAGTGGAGTGTAGGTCACTCTCCTCCTCCTCCTCCTCTGTGCCTCCCCCAACAGCTACAACCCCTTTGAGGGCCCCAATGAGAATCCAGAAGCAGAGCTTCCGCTGACAGCTGGCGAGTACATCTACGTCTATGGCAACATGGATGAGGATGGCTTTTTTGAAGGTAGGAAGGTAGTAGGGGGTCATTCTGTCCATTCCCCTGCCTTTGAGTCCATGTTCCCAAAGACATCCATCCATCCATCCATCCATCCATCCATCCCCTCTGCCCAGCGTGCTCAGCCCACCTTAACTTTTTGGTCTCAGCGAAAAGGCATACAGAGACCTAGTGGCCATTGGGGAAAGAGAAAGAAGGGGGTCTGGCTCCAAGCAGGACAGGACAGCATAGTCCAGATGGTGGACAGAGTGTCACAGGAGATTTTGGCTAGATTCATTTTTGTGCGGATGGTCAGGGCATGGCAGTGTTTCACGCTAGTGACACCTGAGGTCAGGCATGCAGCATAGATTTGATGCTGGACTCCAGTCAGGTACGCGAAGGAGGAATCAGGGTAAAGATTCCAGGGGAAGGTGTTTGCAAGCGGTTAGCAGCTGTCAGAGCCCAGGCAGGGTGTCCGCTTCAGGGAGGTTCTGCAGCTCCTGTGGGTAGTCAGAGGGCTGACCAGGCAACTAAAGGCAGATGCCTCATTGAGACTGGGCACCATGGGCCTGCGGAAGACATGGCCTTGGGAGACTCTCTCAGGGTGGCTCTGGCCTGGGCACCACCAGGCTGAGTCCATCAGCAGCAGAGAGCTTGGCACTGTGTAGGGAATTGGATGGGGCATGGACAGGGCAGGGCAAGAGCCACAACTGTGTATAGAGATTCAGGAATGGGCTTAGCTCTGAATCTGTAACCCTGGAAGCTTGGGTGCCTGTTCAGATTCTTTTCCCTGGGTCCTCTGCCTGTGATTTGAGGAGCTGCTGGGACCCATGGTACCTGGCTTTGTGGCCTAAACAGTTAAGCTTCCTGCAGGGGTACATTACGAAGATCAGAATTAATAAAAAGGTTTCAGAAAAACAATACTTTATAAATGAAGAAAGAAAAAAAAAAACCACCCAAATCAAAAACCCAAACCCAAACACCCTTTTTTTAGAGGCAGGCAGCAAAGGCATAAGTATTAACTAACCACAAATGACTAGAATTTGAACTCTGCGATCTGGGATAAATTGGGATAGATGTAGAGGCACGTAGACCACCGGGGGCAAGATGCCATATTCCCTGTCCAACCGTAGCTAAAGGGCTGCTTCCTCTACGTCTGGGCCACCTAGGCTGTTCTCAGCTGTGTGGGCTTCTGGAGCATGTGCCTGACTCTGGCCCAGGCTCCAGCTTCAGCCCTGCAGGCTGGAGATCCTCTTACTGTGAAGATTCCTGCCTTTGTCTCCCACTCCACAGTGCTGGAGCTTATGATCGTTTCCTAGGGCTGCAGGAACAATTACATGGAGTGACTTGAAATGATAGACATTTATTCTCTCACTGGCCTCTTCTGGAGGCCAGAAGTCTGAAGTCAAGGTATTCACAGAACTGCATCCCCCGTGGGGGCTCTAGGGGAGGTTCCGTTCCTTGTCCCTTTCAGCTTCCGGTGGCTCCAGTTGTTCCTTGGCTTATGGCCACCTCACTCCAGTCTCTGTGTCTGTGGTCACCATCGCCTCCTCCTCTTAGTGTTTCTCCTCTGCATGTCTCTTATAAAAACACTTGGTCATTAGATTTAGGACCCACCCGGATAATCTAGGATGATCTCCTCTCAAGATCCTTAACTTAATTACATCTGCAAAGACTCTTTTTCCAAATAAGGCCATGTTCACAAGTTCCAGGGATTAGAACATGGACATGTCTTTGGGTGGCCACCTTTCAACCCTCTACGGTGCTTATTCTATCAGCGAATTTATTGACAGTCCCTCTTGTTTCTTAAAGTTCCTTACTGTTTTTTTTTTTTTTCCTAGCATAGGCAGAGAGAGAGAGGGTGGAGGTGGGGGGCACAGATGACTGTTGGGGGAAACTCCAGGCCCCACTGCAGCTCAGACCTGCCTACACTCACCCATCTCCCCTAAGCCCTGGCTCGTGCTCCCCCTTCCTCCCAATAAAGCACACTAGCTGCCAGCTGTCTGTTTCCTGAGAACTTTTTTCTTCTTTAAATTGGCCGTGACATGACATGTTAGGTGCCCAGCTTCCTTGACATCCCTCAATCAAACAACAACAGCAAATGTTTTAAAATACTCTCTTGTCAAGTCTTCAGGAGAACCGACGCAGGTAACAAAACATAACCATTTGGTAACAAAACATAACCATTGGTGGCTGCCTGGATTGATTGCTGTCAGTCATGCTCCTAGGCGCAGGCCTGCTGGGGGTCCTGATCCTTCTAGAACTTACAAGTGACTCTTTTCACTAGCACTTACTTCATTTGTGTCTAAAGATTCCTTCCCTTACTCTGCTGAGTTGGTTCTCTCTCTCTCCCTCTGTGGATGTCTGCTGTTCACAAAGGGAAGTTGAGGGGCACCCTGGCGCCTGTTCCTCAGGCCCAGGTAAAATCCAATCAGCAGAATTTTTTTATTTTTGGATACAGCATCTTGCTTTGTCGCCCAGGCTGGAGTGCGGTGGCGCGATTACAGCTTGTAGCTTCTGCCTCCCGGGCTCAAGCAATCCTTCCACCTCAGGCTCCTGAGTAGCTGCAACTATAGGCGTGCCACCACTCCCAGCTAATTTTTGCATTTTTTGTAGAGATGGGGTTTTGCCATGTTGCCCAGACTCGTCACAAACTCCTGGGCTCAAGCAATCTGCCTGCCTCTGCCTCTTGAAGTGCTGGGATTACAGGCATAAGTCACCATGCCTGGCCAGTTTTCTCATCTTGGCCTGCTTATTTTTTAAAACTTTAATATGAAATTATGAAATTATTACTGCAATTTTTTTTTTTTTTTTTTTTTTTTTGAGACGGAGTCTCGCTCTGTCGCCCAGGCTGGAGTGCTGTGGCCGGATCTCAGCTCACTGCAAGCTCCGCCTCCCAGGTTCCCGCCATTCTCCTGCCTCAGCCTCCCGAGTAGCTGGGACTACAGGCGCCTGCCACCTTGCCCGGCTAGTTTTTTTTTTTTTGTATTTTTTAGTAGAGATGGGGTTTCACCATGTTAGCCAGGATGGTCTCGATCTCCTGACCTCGTGATCCGCCCGTCTCGGCCTCCCAAAGTGCTGGGATTACAGGCTTGAGCCACCGCGCCCGGCCCTATTACTGCAATTTTTAACACAAAAGTGTTCAAATGTACAGAATACGTTTGAATACTTATATACCCAGCACCTAGATTCAACAATTGTTAAAACGTGGGCATATTTGCTTTATCTGTATGTAGGTTAAAAATGATTTTAAAAGCATTATGATATTTTACTTTGAAATACTCAACGTGCTTATTTAGAACATGATATTCTCCTCCGTCCTCGCAGTCCGAGTGTCACCTGGTAGCTTATTAGAATCACAGGATCTCAGCCCCATCCAGAGAGTTAGAATCTGCATTTTAACAAATATCCAGGTGATTCATATCCAAGTTAAAATTGAAGAAGCACTGTCCTGTAGAACCAAAATACCATTATCAGACCTATCTCTAATCCAGATCTTTACAGCTCTTGTCTTTTAAAAGAATTGACAGTTAAATGTTGATTTGAATCAAATGCTGAAGATCACCCACTAGCAGTTGCTAAAATACATTTACTATACCATTTTTTCTTTATCTCCTCTCTGTCTTCCCCTGCCCTGCCCTTTCCTGCCCTCCTCCTGCCAGGAGAGCTCATGGATGGCCGAAGGGGCCTGGTCCCTTCCAATTTTGTAGAGCGTGTGTCGGATGACGACCTCCTGACCTCCCTCCCTCCGGAGCTGGCCGATTTGTCCCACAGCTCAGGCCCTGAACTCAGTTTCCTGAGTGTGGGTGGGGGTGGCAGCAGTAGCGGGGGCCAAAGCAGCGGGGGACGGAGCCAGCCCAGACCTGAGGAGGAGGATGCAGGGGACGACCTCAGTGTGAGCCCATCACCGGAGGGCCTGGGCGAGCCTCCTGCTGTGCCTTACCCCCGCTGTCTGGTGGTCCTCAAGCAGCTGGCCCACAGTGTAGTGCTGGCCTGGGAACCCCCTCCTGAGCGAGTGGAGCTACACGGCTTCCATATCTGTGTGAATGGGGAGCTGCGGCAGGCCCTGGGGCCTGGGGCGCCACCCAAGGCTGTGCTGGAGAACCTGGACCTGCGGGCCGGGCCCCTTCACATTTCTGTCCAGGCCCTGACCAGCCGGGGCAGCTCCGACCCACTGCGCTGTTGCTTGGCGGTGGGTGCCCGGGCTGGAGTGGTGCCCAGCCAGCTGCGGGTCCATCGGTTGACAGCCACATCTGCTGAGATCACCTGGGTGCCCGGCAATAGCAACTTGGCCCATGCCATCTACCTCAATGGGGAAGAGTGCCCACCTGCCAGCCCCAGTACCTACTGGGCCACCTTCTGCCACTTACGGCCTGGCACACCCTATCAGGCCCAAGTGGAGGCTCAGCTCCCACCCCAAGGGCCCTGGGAACCAGGCTGGGAGAGGCTGGAGCAGCGGGCTGCCACCCTGCAGTTCACCACACTCCCAGCAGGTATGTGGGCTTGGGCTCTGTTGTCCAGAACACCCAGGAGGCCAGGCCATGGGTGATGGAAGAAGGGGACCCTGATCTTATTTGCATTATCAGAGAAATGGCAAATTGGGCAGGTATCTCTGATAGGGAGCATCCTGCATCACTGGGTCTTGTGCCTCCCTGCCCCCAGGCCCGCCTGATGCCCCTCTGGATGTGCAGATCGAGCCTGGGCCCTCCCCTGGAATCTTGATCATCAGTTGGCTCCCAGTCACCATCGATGCTGCTGGCACATCCAACGGTGTCCGGGTCACAGGCTATGCCATCTATGCTGATGGGCAGAAGGTATGGCCCTGCCCACTGTACCCTGGGAGTGGAGGTGAATCCCTTCTTGCTATGCTCAGAGACCAAGGCTCTCTGACCTGGCACAGAGATGCCCAGCCCCTGGCATTTGGGCACCATGAGGCAAATGGGTTAAGAGCATGGGCTTTGGCAGCACATGACGGATTTTAGAACTGTTCCACCACTGAAGCCATGTGGCCAGGAGGATGAAATGAGATAGGCCATGCAGAGGGCTTAGCACAGTACCTGGCATAATGCTAGCTGCCACTGCTGTCAGTACATCCTCACACTTGGCTGTCTCAGCCTCTGCTTCCCATCCTGTGCCCCCTCCACCCTACAGATCATGGAGGTGGCCTCGCCCACGGCAGGCAGTGTGCTGGTGGAGTTGTCCCAGCTGCAGCTGCTGCAGGTGTGTCGTGAGGTGGTCGTGCGTACCATGTCGCCCCACGGGGAGTCGGCGGACTCCATCCCGGCTCCTATCACTCCTGCCCTGGCTCCAGCCAGCCTGCTGGCCCGAGTCTCCTGCCCCTCACCGCGACCAAGCCCAGAGGCCAGAGCACCCCTTGCTTCAGCCTCCCCAGCGCCTGGAGACCCCAGCTCTCCTCTCCAGCACCCTGCTCCCCTTGGAACTCAAGAGCCCCCAGGAGCACCTCCTGCAAGCCCTTCCAGAGAGATGCCAAAAGGGTCCCACGAGGATCCTCCAGCACCTTGCTCCCAGGTACCCTGTTCGGGGAGAGGGGAGCAGGTGCATGCTGGGAGAGGGACCTGGGCTTGGGTCCTTCCTCAGCGCTCTCTGTTCCAGGAGGAGGCTGGGGCAGCAGTGCTGGGCACCTCAGAGGAGAGGACAGCCAGCACATCCACCCTGGGTGAGAAGGACCCTAGCCCCGCAGCTCCCTCACTGGCCAAGCAGGAGGCCGAGTGGACTGCAGGAGAGGCCTGCCCGGCCCCCAGCTCCGCCCAGGGAGCACTGGCCCAGCAGGCGCCAAATACCGAGGCGTGCCAAGGAGGAGACCCAGGGTCTGGGCTGAGGCCCAGGGCTGAGGTAGGGTTTGGGGACACACTGTCACTTCAGAGAATTGGGGCCTGCCTCCCTACCTTCTGCCAGCCCAAATCCAGTTGCCCTCTCTGCCTGTCCTCTGCTCTGGTCCTGCTCTCACACCTTTGGCTGTGCTGTGTGTCTGTCTTTCTTCTAGGATTTCTCTGTCCCATGTGGCTCCCATCTCCCTTCTCCCACCTGCCCCCGACCCATGGTGTACCTCCCCCATTTAGGGCATGGCTCTTTCTCCCTCTGCCAAAGGACCCTTGTTATTGTGGCTGGGGCTGACCCTGCCTGGATCCCCCTGTGCCCCTCACTGTCCTTATCTCTCCTGCCTTGCCTCACCTCTTGCAGAAGGAGGACGCGGCAGAGCTCGGGGTTCATCTGGTGAACTCCCTCGTGGACCACGGCCGCAACTCAGACCTGTCAGACATCCAGGAGGAAGAGGAGGAGGAGGAGGAGGAGGAGGAGGAGGAGGAGCTGGGTTCCAGGACTTGCTCCTTCCAGAAGCAGGTTGCTGGCAACAGCATCAGGGAGAATGGGGCCAAGGTAACAGGGTACGGATGGGCTACTGGGCCCCAGGCCTCAGTCTCTGGGGCCTCCCAACTGTGTATCAGCAGCTGCTCTGACTGCCACTGAGTGCCAGTAACATTCTAGGTCTGTGGCATGGGCCTTGTCCTAAGCAGAAGATAGTAAGTGGCCCAGGATTGGCCTCTGCCCTCCTGGAAAGAAAGGGGAAGACGAGGAACTCATTTCTGCACCTTCTCTCCCTCCAGCCCACCAGATACAGCATCCTGGCCAAGGGAGGCTGGTGCCACCTAAGATTCTTGTGCTGGTAGCTTCTGGGGAAGGGATGGGGAGGTCTTCTCCTCAATGCTCCTGTTCCACGGGGCTGGTGACAGTTCCTAGAGTGTGTTCCCTAATTCTTCCTTTGGCTCTCACTGGATATGTGTGCGACTTTGGGCCAGCCACTGTCCCTCTGGTTCCTTCCTCTCGGAGGAAGCTGTGGGAGGGCTGTGGGGTTGTCCGTAACCCCTGCCTTCGTTTGAGGGCAAAGATCACAGCTCTCTCTCCTCTTCCCCACACATCTCTCTTCCCTGCTGCATTCTACTCCCACCTCCCCACCTCCACCAGTCCCAGCCCGACCCCTTTTGTGAGACTGACAGCGATGAGGAGATCTTGGAGCAGATCCTGGAGCTGCCCCTCCAGCAGTTCTGCAGCACGAAGCTCTTTAGCATCCCCGAGGAGGAGGAGGAGGAAGAGGAGGACGAGGAGAAGGAGAAGCCAGGGGCAGGCTGTTCTTCCCAAGACCCTGGCCCGCCTGAACCTGCATTGCTGGGGCTGGGCTGTGACAGTGGTCAGCCCCGAAGACCTGGCCAGTGTCCCTTGTCTCCTGAGCCCTCCAGGGCTGGAGACTGCCTGGAGGACATGCCTGGATTAGTTGGTGGAAGCAGTCGGAGGAGAGGAGGGGGCTCCCCTGAGAAGCCCCCAAGCCGCAGGCGGCCTCCAGATCCCCGTGAACACTGCAGCCGACTTCTCAGCAACAATGGGCCCCAGGCCTCTGGACGACCCGGCCCCACGCGGGAGAGGGGTGGCCTCCCTGTAATTGAGGGCCCCAGGACTGGACTAGAGGCTAGCGGGAGAGGGCGGCTGGGCCCTTCCCGGAGGTGCTCCCGTGGCTGGGCGCTGGAGCCTGGCCTGGCCAGCTGCCTTTCCCCCAAGTGCTTGGAAATCAGCATTGAATATGACTCGGAGGAGGAGCAGGAGGCGGGCAGCGGGGGCATCAGCATCACCAGCTCCTGCTACCCTGGAGATGGGGAGGCCTGGGGCACAGCAACCGTAGGAAGGCCCAGGGGGCCTCCGAAGGCCAATTCAGGCCCCAAACCCTACCCACCCCTCCCAGCCTGGGAGAAAGGGGAGCCAGAGCAGAGAGGCCGCAGTGCGACGGGCAGAGCCAAGGAGCCACTCTCCCGGGTCCGTGCTCACTCCCCGCCCTGGGCAGCCCCTGCCTGCTGCTGCCTGGTGGCCCTGCTTGCTGCCCACCAGCAGCTCCCATTCCACGCTGCCGCCTCCATCAGCAGAGGTGGGGCCGGGCCTCCGGGCTCCCTCACCTGCCTCCTCCCACCCACATTCCACTGCTTTGCTGCTTCTGCTGATCAGAACTGGGATGCACAATATTCTATCACTAGTCACCTGTTGCGGCCTTTGGGCAGGGTCGCCCTTTCCTCTGCATAGCTAGTTATGGCTTCAGGACGCTGACTGTGATGCCATGTCCAGGGTCACCTGCCCTGATGCTGATGGGAGGCCCTCCTCTCACAGGCTCCTCAGCCAACTCTAGTCCCCTCTACTCCACTCATCTACTTGGGGGCAGGGGCTGGGGCCTCCCCTCCTGCCCGCCCTCCCACTGTGGGAGTGTCTGAGGTCTCCAGCAGGCCGGGCGAGACTCCAGGAGAGGACTGCTGTGCTCCTGCGCTGCTGTGCTGCTTACGCTGATGGGGCAGAGCTGGGGAGCACGGGCCCACCGGAGGGATGGTGTGTTACTTCTGCCATCTGTTGTCCTCTTTTTGCAGGCAACAGAGACTAGGGAAGCCAGAGGGCAGGACAGCTCTGGGCGGAGAGGCCCCCAGAAGAGAGGTGCCCGAGTCCCCAGGCCAAGCACTGCAGAGCTAGGTGAGCATCTGATGGGGGTTGAGCTAGAACCCCTCGGCCAGAACTCGCTGCATCACCGCCCTCTCCACTGTCTCCACAGTCCCTGTGAGGAGCCCGTCAGAAGCATTGGCTTACCAGCACCTACCCGTCAGGATCTTTGTGGCTCTGTTTGACTACGACCCCGTGTCAATGTCGCCCAATCCTGATGCTGGAGAAGAAGAGCTTCCCTTCCGAGAGGGTCAGATCCTGAAGGTGACTGATTTGCCATCAGGGCTCAGAGCTCCAAACACCAGCTAGGTCTTCCCTCCTCCCTCCTTTCCTCCACTGGAGGTAGCACAGATGGGCGGAGAACACAGCTTCTAGAGCAGATGACGTGGGTTTGGACCCTGACTCTGCCGCTTCTAGCTGTGTAACCTTGAGTAGATTACCTAGGCCCTCTGGGCCTCAGTTTTCTTATTGGTAAAATGGGGATAATATTAGTGTCTACCTCACAGGGTGGTTTGTGGATTAAATGATCCAATGTACATAAAGAGCTTAAACTGCCTGACACATAGGCAGCACAGTCTAACTATCTGCTGCTGACATTGCTATTTTTATTATTCCTCCAAGTATTGATTGAAGGCATTTTGCTATTGCTCTGAGATTAAGGAGATCCACTCTGGGGTGGGCAAAGGGCATGACCGTGTAGACAGTGAATGGGGTAATACAGAAAGGGCTGTTTTCTCCTATTCCTCTGATCCTGTTCGTTTCTGTTTTTCCCCTTTTCCCATTCCATGGCCTACGAAAGGGAGAAGATTCTTCTGCATTTCCAAGTGGGGTGTTGCTGGGGTTCGGGGCCTGGGGCACAGGGAGCGAGCAGAACTGGCTCAGACCACTGTTCTTTGCCTCCAGGTGTTTGGGGACAAGGATGCCGACGGCTTCTACCGGGGCGAAGGTGGGGGCCGGACAGGCTACATTCCCTGCAACATGGTGGCTGAGGTGGCTGTGGACAGCCCTGCCGGGAGACAGCAGCTGCTCCAGCGGGGTTATTTGTCCCCAGATATTCTCCTCGAGGGCTCAGGTATGACCTGCTGCTGTCCCTCACCCCCCTCCTACCAGCCCTCTTCCAACTCCACCTGACCCTGAGCAATTGTTGTGTCTGGGGTGCCCCCACTTACCCAGACTCTAGCAGAGCCTTGGAGCCTTGAGAACCCTGTGGCTGGTGGTCAGACTGCACGTGGGCTGGCCACATGGAGTGGGCGTCTGTTGCGGAGGGGAGTACAGCCACGCGGCCAGGAATTTTGGGTCCTGGAGGTTGGGTGGGGCTCTTGTCAGGGATGGGAGATGAATGCCCTCATGAAACAAGCTCAGTAAGCCAGCACGGCCCTGAGAGGAAACTCCAGAGTCCCAGTCCTGTCTCTCCCACCTCCCCTGCCTCGCTTTCTCTCTGCTTTCCTGGATCAGGGAATGGTCCCTTTGTGTACTCCACAGCCCGCACAACTGGGCCTCCTCCCAAGCCCCGCCGCTCCAAGAAAGGTGGGTAGGACCCCGTTCTCTCTCAGGTGTGTGCGGGTGGGGTGGCGCTGCTTGGCTGGCTGGGGAGGCACCTCTGGAGTTTTGAGCAGGTAAAGGGAATCAGGGCAGACCACCCATATCCCCTGCCTCCCGCTGTGGGGGGCTTTTTTCCGGTGGGGATGAGGGATGGTTTGTGGAGCTCTCTGTCCCCACAGGCACCTGACTGTAAAATCCACGAACCCCGGACATGCCATTTAGCCTTTCTGGGTGTTAGTTCACCGCCACACCAAAGGGCTGGGGAGATGCACCCTCAGCAGCCTTCCCTGCCTGCCTCCTTGTGTGTGTGTCTGGCCTGCGCTGCAGCACCTGCAGCCTGGGCGGGCAGGGCGGGGTGGGGCTCACAGGCACATTCTCTCCACAGCTGAGTCGGAAGGCCCTGCCCAGCCCTGTCCAGGTGAAGGAACATCCCTGGGCCCGGGAGGCTGGGGAAGGAGATAGGGTGGGTGGCCCCTCTGGCCTCGCCCCAGGGGCTACAACTAGTGGGGAGGTGGTGACAGGGGTTCGGCAGGGGTCCAGGGCAGAAGACAGGATGGAGTATAGGGCTCTCCAGAGAGTCCAGAGTCTTCTCCTTCTCCCGCTGCAGGCCCCCCTAAGCTGGTCCCCTCCGCTGAGCTGAAAACTCCCCACTCCATGGTGGCTGCATTTGACTACAACCCCCAGGAGAGTTCCCCCAATATGGACGTCGAGGTGAGGACCCTCAGACAGAGCCCAGCAAAGGGGGCGGTGGCAGAGCCTTCCTGGGCCTGATGCCCTCCTCTTGTTTTCCACAGGCAGAGCTGCCCTTCCGGGCAGGGGATGTCATTACTGTGTTTGGGGGCATGGACGATGACGGTTTCTACTATGTGAGAACATTGTTGGGGAGGGTGTACCACACCCCAGCCCCCCAGACTTCCCAGGGAGGGCTCTCCCAGAGCTGGGCAGGGGGATGGGCAAGGAACCCTCAGGAAGTCTGGTGGAATGGAACGGGTCACCTCCCTGGACAGTGGTTTTGGCCCCAGCTATTCCCCAGGGGCATCAGGGTCGAGGGGCAGAGCTAGAGCCTGTTTCCTGATCTCAGCCTCACCAGCCTCTCCTCTCCAGGGGGAATTAAATGGACAAAGGGGCCTGGTTCCATCCAACTTCCTGGAGGGCCCTGGGCCTGAGGCAGGAGGCCTGGACAGGGAACCCAGGACACCCCAGGCTGAGAGTCAGGTCAGTGAGGAGCTGGGCTCCCAGCCTGGCAGGGCGGTCTACCCTACTGGTGGGGTGGTAGGGCCAGGGCAGTGTTGCAGCAGGGGTGCAGCTGGGGTGGTCATGCAGGTAAGCACTGTGTCCAGTGCAGAGCCACTAAGTGACCACCAGAGGGGAGCCCCACCAGGCAGCTGCCCCCAAATATGTGCCCCTCTCTGCAGAGGGGTGATAGCTGTGACCCTGACCCCCAGGCCATCTGACCGGCTGCCAACACCTGGGGGCTGACACAGGTGAGGGGCCCTGTGGAAAAGGACCCCTCTGCCTCATGCCTGTAGCCAATCAAAGTCCCTGTTTCAGGATACTCCCACCCTGGGGGGGGGTCTCCCTACCTCCCAGGTGCCTTTGGAAGCCAGTTGCCCAGCCAGGCCCAGCTTCCTGGGTTCTCATTCCTAGAGCTTACCTCTCCTTGGGGTGGGTGGAATACAACTAAGCCTCCACCCTCAGAGGGCAGGGAGAGAGGGTGAAGAGGCCAAGCCCCAGTCAGAAAACTCAGGGCTTCCATGTGTAAACACAAAGGCCTTGGAGAGCAGGGCCCACCAATGTACAGGGCCACCTGGCGGCCGGGCGGAGAAGATGCGGGTCTGTCTGTAACCCATCTCCTCTCTTTGTTCCCTGTCCTCAGAGAACGAGGAGGAGAAGAGTCCAGTGCTAGATGGAGATAGATATATGTAGAGAGAGCAACATGTAAGTGGGGGGACTGCACCGCTATGTGACCCCTCACGCCCACTTGACCATAATCAGACAGCACTCCTTTGTCTCAAATACTGGAGCTGACCCAGCTTTCCCACTGTTGTCCAGGGAATGGCAAAGGAGAGCTTGCCATGAGTCAGATTTGCATAGAGTCATCCCTCCCCCTCCCTGCTCCCCTTGCCTTGCCTTTACCCAGGGCAGTGCCAGCTGTCATAGGATTACATGTCATCTTAGTGTGTGATGTCCCATATTAGCTGATGCCTCCTATTCTATAACACATATGGTTTATAGAACATGACGTGGCATCCATAGTAGGACTCATCAGTGGTATTATGATACTGTGCAGCTACGGTATTATAATATTGTAATTATTACTGGTGCCAGGGTGACACTGTAATGCCACCAGTAATAATAGGCTTCCCACCCTTGTCTCTGCATTGTGACCTGTTAGGGTGATCAGATGCATGATTTACCTCAAACTCTCAGTTTTCTCTATTTGGGGGATAAAAGGGGAAGTTTGGCCAGGTGCGGTGCCTCATGCCTGTAACACTAGCTACTTGGGAGGCTGAGGTGGGAGTCACTTTAGCCCAGGAGGTCGAGGCTGCAGTGAGTGGTGATCACGCCACTTCACTCCAGCCTGGGAGAAAAATAAAGGGGAGGTTTGAGTAGTTCAAATCCATAAATAACCCCAAATCATTATTCTCTGGAGCCCAGAAACCTCGTTCTTTTGTTTCCCTGACAACCTCTCCCTCCTGGATGTTGCGGAAGGAGCCCTAAGAGGGAGTGGGAAGGGTCTGGGGCTCCCCAACTGGCTCTCAGCTCTGGCTGATTGGGGGTAGATGCTTTGGCCTCTGTGGGCAGCCCTGCCACATCACCACAGGCCTGGGGCAGGGGTGGGGCCTCGGCTGTGCACCCACTTTCCTTGCCTCTGGCCTCGGCTCTATAGTTGGTTCTGGCTGGGAGCCTGCCAGGCTCTGGGCAGTGAGTGGGAGTTTGAGGAAGGGAAGACATGCAGGCTGGCAAGAGCTGACAGAGCTGTGCCAGGTCCTGGAGGTGAAGGTGGGAACAGAGGTGTGGGGGGCTTTCTGGTGGCTTCTCTGTTCCCCCAGCTTCCTGGCCTTAGATCGCTAAGGAGCGCCGTCTGGGTGGGCTCGAGGCAAAGGGAGTGGAGTTAGGAGATTCAGTAAGGGAGAAGATGCTGCAGCCTCCAGGGCCTGTGGTGGGGGCTGAGTGATGCCCCCAGCTGTGAGTCTCTCTGGGTCCTTGGCTTCCCCGCAGTCCTCTTAGGGCCCTTAAGGTAGAGTCCCAATCTTCCTCCCCATGGAGTGGGTACTGGCTCCATTCCCTGAAGGCCTGGGGGGGCCACACCTGCTGAGTTTGGGGAGACGCTCCTGTCTACGAGGGGCTGTGGAAGCTACCTTCCTTGGCAGTGACAGCTGCTTCTAAGCAGTCCTTGTCCTTGCGGTCTGTTTTTTGGGAGAGAGGTGACATGTGAGAAGTTGGGGGCACCCATCCTGAGGGGCAGCTTCCAAGAACTCTTGGGCCTTGTCAGCCCTGCATCCTGGAGGGAGAAGGCAAGGGACCTGCGCAGGGTCACAGGTGAGCAATCCAGAACCAAGACTGCATCCCCTGGGACTCCCAGCTCAGTGCTCCCTCGGCATCACCCTCCCCATTCGCCGCCTGTGCTGTGTGTGTCTGGCAGTGAGTGGTGGGAGGTGAGGCCCTGGTTCTCACCCATGGTTCCATGACATGGGACGCTGCAGGCCGCTGAGGCTGTGGAGAAAAGTGGTGGGGGGTCGGGAGGGAATCAGGCCTTGACCTTGCTCCTTCTGTCTCACATTTCAGGACTGGGGCTGCACCACACAAGGGCCCCCGGGGCCCCCAGGTGGGCCCTGTGCTCCCAGCCCTGACAGCGCCCCCAGGATCGAACGTGGGGAGCCCCAGGGCAGAAGCGAGAAGGTGTGGGGTTTCTTCTCCAAGGGGAAACAGCTCCTCAGGAGGCTGGGCTCTGGGAAGAAGGAGTGAAGCTGTGGCCCATCCTGCAGGCAGAAGAGGCCCTGAGAGGCCCCCAGACCACCGTCTCCGCTGAGCAGGGAAGGCTCAGACTGGGCCCAGAGCCCCCGTTCTTCTGCATTAACACTGCGGCACTCAGAGAGGATCAAAGAGCCTCCGTGAAGGTCAGAGCTAGATGGCTCCTTAAGGATGAACTCTCTAGAGAAGCACCTTCCTCCTACAGTAGGGGAAACTGAACCCACAGTGAGTATGTAACTCGACCAAGGTCACTGAGCCAGGACTGGACCCAGGACCCTCGCATCCTGGTCCACCCACCTCGTCTACTAGTGTCCCACAGTGCTGCGCTAGTCCCTTCTGCCACCCTCCCCAGTCCCAGGACGGGCCCTGGGGGGAGAAAGGAGCCTGTGCCCCCTGATGGCTTTGGCTGTCCTGATCTTGTCTTCCCTCCCCTGAAGGAAAGTTTGCACTGGATTTTCTTGGAGCCCCACCTCCCCAGCGGGCAGGCGGGCGGAGCCGTGTATATATGTACATACTCAGTGCCTCAGTTCAGCTTCTTCCACCTCGCTTCCACTGCAAGGCCCGGGAAGGAGAAAGGCCAAGCCAAAGCAGGCCCCACCCCGCCCCCGTCGTGCTCCACCCCTCCCTGCCGCGGCCTCCTGGCCCCTGTATGGTCCCGCCCCCAAAGACCCTGGGGCCCGCGGGGCCGAAAGCGGAGTTGGGTTTGCCTTATTTTGCTCATTGGATTCAAGTTCTTTTGCATAGTTTTCTTTTAACCCCTGTTGGAGTCCAGGGGCTGGAGAAAAGGACAGATTTATGCAGCTATTTTCATACATTCCCCGTTCAGAGTGGGGTAGGGGGTTCTCCACCCTTACCCTATCCACTCCATTCCCCACCCTCTGCCGGGTGAGTGTCTCTTTGCATGTTTCCTTTGCTGTGGTGGGAGATTGTTTGACTGAACCCCCATCCCCACCTTGGTCTCCAGGGGTGTGGAATGGTAGGGGAATTTGTTTAAAAAGACATTTTATTATAATAAAGTCTATTTTCACAAAATCTATGCTGGACTCTACGTGGGCAAAGGACTCCTTGGAGGGGGTGGGGCAGCTGGAGTTTGGACTCTCGACTTCAGACCCCAGAAGTTATATCCTAGGGGTAACAGGGGCAAAAACCAATCAACACCACGAACTTTCGAATTCTTTTCCTAAGAAAAAGATTTGGTAGCTTCCTGAGCCCTTGGTCACAGGGCCAGGTATTTGCTACTGGGCGGGGTTGTGGAGGGAGATGGGACAGAGGGAAAACATCAGTTTCAAGATGGTGGACCGAACACACAGTGCAGTCTATCTCCTCTATACCAAATGCATAGAAATAATAGACGTGAGAGAAACAGAACAAACAAACACTATACACAGTTCCATTTGAAAGCAAGAAAGGGGGCTCTCAGTAGACTAGAAACAACAGGATTCTGGAAAAGACAGAGAACAGATGGCAGATTATACGGATGAAACTCGAGAGTAGGGTATATATATGTGGGAGAGCTCTGCACATTGCCTCTGGACTAGAGGCGGTGCAAACAGGGCAGCAAAGACCCTAGGGGCTACCAATGGTGTGGTTAGTTGGGGTTTTTCTTTAATTGATTGTTGCACATTCTCCTGCCATGGGCCAAGGGCAAAGGTGAAGATGTCTGCCTTTAGATGACAGACTTAGAGAACAGTAGGGGTTGCAGCTTGGATCAGAGACCAGGTGGTACTTTAGGTAACTGGCCACACCTGGCAGAAACAAGATGTATCACTGCCCAGGTGAGAAGGCACCAATCTGCAGCATACTGTGGCTCCTCCCTCTCAACCGAAACCCTCAGAATCACGGCAGCAGTTCCCACCCAGCCATCCAGCAGAGACTCCCAACCACAATGGCAAGGACACAGTAAAGACTCGAAAAATATTGGAGGAAAGCCAACTTCACTAAGAGAGATAACACATGGAAATGGAAAAATATACACAAGTCAATAAAGCATTAGGAGAAAACTTTAAAAAGTCTGCAGTTATTGTTGGAGAGATAAAGGAAGGAATTACATATGGGAAACAAGAACAAATAGTTATGAAAAAGATCCTAATAGAGATCTTGCAAAAAATACATCTTTTCTTGTTAAAAAGGACCCAATATATGGGTGAAGAGCATATAATTCATAGTTGGATAAAATTAGTAAGCTTGAAATTTGAGGTCGTTCCTCAGAGTGCTATACAAAGGGATAGAGAGATGAGCAAAATGAAAGAAAAGTTATACATGGAGGATGGGGCCAAATGTTTCAGGATCTATTCATAAGAATACCCCGGGGTTGGGAAGATGTGGGGAGCAATAGAGACCATGAGTGATAGAACAAATGATGGCTATAAATTTTGTAGGACTGAAGAAAGACACAGATACTTCGATTCAAAGGACTTACTGCATGTGAAGCTGATAAATAAATTACAAGTACAGAAAAAAAGAGAAGCAACCCAATTCAATTTTTGAGACTTGTATAATCTTGTCACCCAAACTAGAACAGGACAAGAAAACATTATGACAGATCTATCTTGTTTATGAACACAGAATATCCTAAATATAGATTTAGGAAACTAAATATACATCATGGCTGCTGCATTTAAAAAATTTTTTTTTTTTTTTTTGAGACAGGGTCTTGCTCTGTCACCTAGGCTGGAGTACAGTGGCATGATCACAGCTCACTGTAGCCTTGACTTCCTGGGCACAAATGACCCTCTCACTTCAGCCTCCTGAGTAGCTGGGAGTATAGGCACATGCCACCATGCCCAACTAATTTAAAAACGATTTTTAAGAGACAGGGTCTTGCTATATTGCCCAGGCTGGTCTTGAACTCCTGGCCTCAAGTGATTCTCTTGCCTTGGCCTCCTAAAGTGTTGGGATTACAGATATGAGCCACTGTGCCTGGCTTGTAGCATTTGTTTTAATAAGGCAAAAGTGTTTCACCATTTTATTATTAAACTGATTAATTCTATTACTCTATATTAATAGAATTCATTACTGTAACAGATTAGAGGAGAAAAACCACATGCTCACTTCAAGATGTTGAAAAATCTTTTGATAAGTGAAAGCATCCCTTCATAGTTTCTAAATATATAGCAGATAAGAAAAATAAGGAAATTGGGTGGAATCTTATCTGCACGTACCCCGTTTGCACTGCAGCTATGGGACCCTGGAAGACAGCCTGCTCTGGGTTTTATACCTTAGGAGCATCAGGACTCTCTGGGATAAAGCCTTGAAGGACATCTGTCTTCTGTAGGGGGACTGGAAGAGAGCCCAGGCTGTTCTGGTCAGTTCCTCCCTGTCTCAGGGTGTTGTATTCCCAGCAAGTTTTACAGTCATTCTTGATAACTACAAACAACAAAGAGGGAGAACTAGGTTGGTCTAAGGCTACCTAGAGAACTGTCCTGCAAAGAAAAAATCTAGGATGAAGAAATACAATTGAGTTTTGTATACTGATTTTGTATGCTGCAGCCTTGCTAAACTCACTTATTAGTTCTAGTAGCTTTTTTCTTGGTCGCTTTTTGGAATTTTTTAAGCAAGTTGTCATCTGGGAATGGAGACAGTTTTATTTCTTCCTTTACAATTTGTATGGCACTAATTTTTTTCCTTGCCTATTGCACTGGCCAGGACCTCCAGTACAATGTTGACTAGGAGTGGTGAAAACAGATATCCTTGCTTTGTTTCTAATCTTAGGGGGAAGGCATTCAGTTGTTCACCATTAAGAATGATTTTCATTGAGTTTTTCTGTTTTGTTTTTATAGATGCCCTTTGTCAGGCAGAGAAAGTTCCTTTTGTTTTTTCCTAGATTGCAGAGAGATTTTATCAAGAATGGATGTTAAATTTTGTCAAATGTTTGTTCTGCATCTATTAAGACGATCAAATGTCTTTTTTTTTTTTCTTTAGGCTGTTGATAAGCTGAATCAAATTGATTTTTCAAAAGTTGAAATAGGTTTTCATTCCCAGGATAAACACCACTTGTTTTGATTTTTTTTATATTGCTGAATTCAATTTGCTCCTATTTTGTTGAGGAATTTTGCATGTGTTTTCATGAGTTATCTTATTCTGTAGTATTCTTTTATTGTAATGTCCATGTCAGGTTTTAATATCAGTACAGTTAGCCTCATAAAATTAGGTGGAAAGTTTAAAGTTTCTATCACATTCTATATCATGTAAGAGATTGTGTAGAACTAGCATTATATCTTTCTTTTTTATTTATTTATTTTTTTGAGACAGAGTTTTGCTCTGGTCGCCCAGGCTGGAGTGCAATGGTGTGGTCTCAGCTCATTGCAACCTCCACCTCCCGGGTTCAAGCAATTCTCCTGCCTCAGCCTCCTGAGTAGCTGGGATTACAGGCACCCAGCCACCACACCCAGCTAATTTTTGTATTTTTGGTAGAGACAGGGTTTCGCCATGTTGACCAGGCTGGTCTCAGAACTCCCAACCTCAGGTGATCTGCCTGCCTCGGCCTCCCAAAGTGCTGGGATTATAGCCATGAACCACTGCGCCCAGACCGCAATATATCTTTCTTAAATGTTTGATAAAATTTGCCAGTGAAAGCATCTAGGGCTGGAGTTTTCTTTTTGTGAGGCTTTTACTATGAATTTAATGTCACTAATAGATACAGGACTTATATATAACTATTTCTTCTGGAGTGAGCTTTTGTAGTTTGTTTCAAGGTATTTTTTATCCTAGTTGTCACATTTATATTCATAATGTATGTAGGGTCTGTGGTAATGTTCCTTCTTTTATTACTGATGTTTGTAAGTTGTCTTCTTTTTTTATTGGTCAGTTTAACTAGAGGTTCATCAATAAAATCGATCTTTCAAAGAATCATCTTCTTGGTTTCATTATTTTTTCTCTATTATTTTTCTGTGTTAAATTTCATTGATTTCTGACATTTATTTTATTATTTAATTAATTTCTAGCCTTTATTATTTTTTCCTTCTGCTTGTTTTGTTTACTGTAGTCTTCTTTTTCTTGTTTAACAAAGCATAAGCTTAGATCACTGATTGAGACATTTCTTTCTTTTCTAATATAAGCAGTTAATGCTATAAATTTCCCTCTATGCATTGTTTTAGCTGTATTCCACAAATTTTGATATATTGTGTTTCAATTTTCATTCAGTTCTACTTATTTACTTATTTTGAAACAGATTCTCACTCTGTCACCCAGACCGGAATGCAGTGATGCAATCTCTGCCCACTGCAATCTCTGCCTGCTGAGTTCAAGTGATTCTCCTGCCTCGGTCTCCCAAGTGGCTGGGATAACAAGCATGCGCCACCACACCTGGCTAATTTTTGTATTTTTAGTAGAGATGGGGTTTTACCACCTTGGCCAGGCTGGTTTCGAACTCCTGACCTCAAGTGATCTGCCCACCTTGGCCTCCCAAAGTACTGGGATTACAGGTGTGAGCCACCGGCCCTGCCTTAGTTCTCATGTTTTAAAAAACATTTCTTGACTTGGGTTATTTAGAAGTGTGTTTTCTTAGTTTCCAAGTGTTTGGATGTTTTCCTGTTATCTTTCTCTTATTGTTTTCTAGTTTGATCCCATTATGCTTAAAGAACATACTTTGTATGATTTTAATTCTCTTAAATTTGTAGAGACTTGATTTATGGCCCAGAATGTGGCCTGTTTTTATGAGTGTTCCATGTGCACTTGGAAATAATGTTTATTCTGCTATTATTAGGTAGCATTTTGTATACATATAAATTGTTTCCATTTGGTTGATGGTGTTATTCAGTTCTACATCTTTGCTGATTTTCTCTCCATTAGTTCTTTTTTTTTTCTTTTCTGGCAGCACAACTTTTATTTATTAATCACAATGTTGGAAATGTTGTATGAGGTAAAATCATCCACAATAAAATAATCACTACATTTTCTTTTATTTTCTTTTTTTTTTTTTTGAGACAGAATCTCACTCTGTTGCCCAGGCTGGAGTGCAGTGGTGCGATCTCGGCTCACTGCAACCTCTGCCTCCTGGGTTCAAGTGATTCTCCTGCCTCAGCCTCCCGAGT